CAGAACCATTCGCTTTGCTTCCTTATCCAAGTTGGAAAAGGCAGAACAGACTTCGTGGTTTTTTGTACCTATGATGTCGATGTCATCGGCATAAGCCAGGAATTGCACGCTCTTGTAGTAAATTGTTCCTGAGCGGTTCAGGTTCTATGTATGTGTAAATATAATATCATCAAAATTTTTAATGGACATTTCTAAAATGGTAAGTTGGAAAAAAAAAATACATCATTTAAACTTTTTTCGTATTATCATCTAATTTAATACCAAAAGCCTCTTTTTTCGCAGGCTAAAGCATACAGGGTGTCCCAGAAGTAACGTGCCAAACTTTAGGGGAAGGTAGGTGGGGGGGTGAGCTCCCTGATAAACAAAAAATTTTCAAGTAAAAGTCACCGTTTTTGAAATCTTTACATTTTTCCGAATTTAAAAAAAATCGTGCCTTTTCATGTGTTTTCTTTAACTGCAACTACAAACCGGGCAATACTTAGTAAATTTTGTATGTAATTCTCGGCCCCTTACTGTTTGATTTGTACATCAACGATCTGCCGAAGGTATTAAAGCACAATAAAATTCAAATGTACGCTGATGATGTGCAATTGTATTTGAGCTGCCCACTTCACTCATTGAACCTATGCATACAGAACCTCAATAGTGATTTAGACCTCGTTCACGAGTGGGCAAGTAACAATGGTTTGGTCTTAAATCCAAACAAATCCCAATGTATAGCTATTTTTAAAAAACATTTTGACCTCAACGTTTATGATACAGTCTCATTGAACAGAACTGTGATACCATATGTGACCTGGTCTACGAAAAGGGAGCTTACGTGCGAAAACTAGTTTTCTGTGAAAAAGCTGTTAAAAGTAAGCAACTCGTTTCGTCAGTTTCTCATTATCTCGTTAATTGTTCTCCGCGCCGGACGTCCAGTAAGTGTTGTTGTCGGTCCAGTAAGTGTTGTTGTTGGCCCAGTAAGTGTTGTTGTTGGTCGGAATATTATTATAGTTTTATTATTAATATTATTATTATTATTATTAATATTATTATTATTTTTAGTACACTTCTAAGCAAGTTAGGATTTTCTGCTTTTCACCACGTGAAAAAGCATCTCATCTTCCATCCGAATCAACCAAAAAGTGAAAATTGATTTTTTGACACCTAAGCCCCCTTTCCGTAGACCAGGTCACATATATTGATGTAGCTAAGAACCTGGGCGTACTATTTAACAGAACACTAACGTGGGATAATCATGTCTATAGCACAATTGGTAGAGTATATGCTATGCTAAGGTATTTATGGTCAACACAACACCTAACGCCGATGCCCACTAGAATGTTAATCGCGAAATCTTACTTGCTACCAACGCTGTTGTACGGTTGCGAACTCTACGCTAACAGCGATAGTCAATGCAATAAAAAACTCAAAGTGCTTTACAATAACATCGCCAGGTATATATATAGCAAAAAACGGTATGACCACATTTCGCAATGGGCTCGTAAGATAACTTCAATATCACTCGACGATATGCTGAAGCTCAAGTGCCTTACAATGCTTCAGAAAATCTTATTCTCAGAGGAGCATCCGCATCTCAAAAATCGTCTTCAAATTACTCAATCGTCACGATTACAACAGCTTTTGCACCTGAAATTCAATTCTGTCATATCTGAGCGTCAGTTTTTCGTCTATACTATTCGCCTATGGAACAAATTACCCCTTAAACTCAGGGCTATTAAGGACACATTGCACTTTAAAATAGCATTACTTAGACACTATGCTGACTAAATGAAAATTTGTAACTATTTAACTCGCGTCAGTCACCTCAACTCTAACCGCTAAATTACTGTATTTTTCTTCATTCTCTTCAATCCTACACTTTATGAATAATTTTATAAGTTTTAGATGTTAAGTTCAAATTTTATACATTTTAATATCGTATTATATTGTAATATTCTCAGTATCTAACACTGAAATATAACCTGTGGTTGTTGTGTTAGACTACTTTAATAAATAAATAAAAAAATACTTCCAGATAGTTGCCTCTCCATACTCTAATGCAATGTAGTTAAAATATATTAAATTAGGACTATTTCTGGATTTATAACTTTTTGATATTTTCTTCCCCAACTTTGACTATCTCGGGTGAAAAAAAATGTACTGAGCTATAACTTTACATTACTTAAAAAATTGCTCATGTAATAAAGATTTCAGAAAGGTGCCACACTTACTGTTTTGAATAGAAAAAAAAAGTTATAGTTATAGTTTGTGGGTAATGGACTGAGACACGCTAGAATGTACTTAATAGATTTAAATTGAATTTGCTCTTGTTACCGTCAAATGACATGCTAAATAGTACAAAGGTACAGAATTACTTGCTTCTGACATTATTTTATGTTACTTACCGGAATTCGGACTAGAGTCTATAACAAGGGCTATATCTATCAATATTTTGTGTGAAGGATGGGTTCATTCATTTATTAATAAAATATGCTCAAATTGGCGACCTTCTACTCTAATACAAGCTCGGCACCTTTTAAGAAAAGACGCTTTTAGAGATCTTAAACTCAATTGGGCTATCTCAGCAGCAGCTCCATTTATTTGTTCCCGCAAATGCTCTTCGTTTTGAATTGTTTTTGAATAAATTTTGTCCTTAAGACAGCCCCAGTAGAAAAAATCTAATGGATTCAGATCTGGCGATCGAGTGGGCCACGTGATTGGCCCGTATCGTCCAATCCGTCGGCGAGGATAAGTTTCGTCTAAATGAGCTCTTACTTCACGCCCGTAGTGAGCAGGGCACCCGTCATTTTGCCGCCATAGTCTTCGCCGCAGGTTTAAGGGTACATCTTCCAAAAGAGTTGGAAGCCGTTCCTGAAGGAACTCTAAATAACTGTGAGAGTTGAGCGTTGGCGGCAGTTCCACAGGTCCCAATATCTGACAATTAAAAATACCGCACCATAAATTTATTTTGTACCGGTACTGCGAACGATCTCTCTCATTTCGTGAGGATTGTCTATCTGCCAACTGTGAAGGTTATGTAAATTAAAATAACCATCACGTTTGCATGATGATTCATCGCTCCAAATTATATTATTAAAAAAGTTGGGGTCTGATGCATGCATTCGCAACATTTCACGGCAAAATCTAACCCTCGACAGGTAATCTCTTTCCTGTAGAGCCTGAACACGTTGAATGTGGTAGGGATGAAATCGATGGTCTTTTAAAGCTTTGTGAACTGTAGTTTTTGGTATTCTCGTCCGTCTTTCCATCATTCTCACTGAAGTCGATGGACCTAGTTCCACTTCCTCTAACACAGCTTCGACATCTACCGTTGAAGGACGTCCTGTTTCGCCGCCACGCCTTCCAGGTATGCAACCTTAAAAAAGTGAAAAATGATAGTTAACAAGCAAGCAAACAAGAAAGGTGTAAAAATCACTTACCTTCATATATTTCTATATGGGTCCGAGCGAATACTTCACGACCCGGATGTCGACGATTGGGGTATCGCTCTGCATAGGGTCTTTGAGCAGCTCTGGCATTACAGCAAGCTTCACCGTAAATTAGGTGAATATCCGCATATTCATGCGACGTATACTGCGTGTTCTCTGTCATAATATTAATAACACAATGTTCGAAGGGTCCAATTTCACAAAATCCACTTTCACTAATTCCGGTAAGTAACACAAAATAATGTCAGGAGCAGGTAATAATGTACCTTTGTACTATTTAGCATGTCATTTGACGGTAACAAGAGCAAATTCAATTTAAATCTATTAAATACATTCTAGCGTGTCTCAGTCCTTTACCCACAAAAGCAGCTATAACTTTTTTTTTTCTATTCAAAACAGTAAGTGTGGCACCTTTCTGAAATCTTTATTAAATGGGCAATATTTTTATGTAATGTAAAGTTATAGCTCAATACATTTTTTTTTACCCGATATAGTCAAAGTTGGGGAAGAAAATATCAAAAAGTTATAAATCCAGAAATACTCCTAATTTTATGATGGTTCCTTAATATATTTCAACTACATTGCATTTGAGTATGGAGAGGCAACTATCTGGAAGTATTTTACATAAAAAATTTACTAAGTATTGCCCGGTTTGTAGTTTCAGTTAAAGAAAACACATGAAAAGGCACGATTTTTTTCTCGAACGCTGGATTCTTATATATCAGTAGAAGCTCAGTATTTCAACTCAAAATACGACTTGTGCACTGCTACGCTTTATAACCAACAGTTAGAGGTATTAATGTAAACCTATATCTACTTCTACTTAAATTTTTTTTTCCTTCCAGTTTTAAATGATTGTAATATCTCCAACAAGGTTCAATCAATAACTTACGATAGTGCAGCAGTTATGAATGCTGTGGCACAGAAACTATTAAATATATGTGATATTATTAAGTGCAACGCTCATCTTCTGCAGTTGGTTGTTAAGGATGCAATTCACAGTATATACAGTAATAAACCTTTTCGCAGGTTTTCACCAATTGGTCCCCGAGGAATACTTTTGGGTTGTGTGCAGAGTTTTCGTTTTTCACGCACGGCAACACTTACTGTGGGGAATTTCGCCTCATGATTAGAAAAAGTTCTTTTTGTGGATAAAATATACATAATTTTGTGTTATTTATGTATAAGCAAAATGTAGGTTAAGTATAGTATCAATGCTTAATTAAGAATAATATCAGTAGTTAAGTACATAATTAACGCTTGTGTTTCTATAAACTGGAAAATCACATCGTATTTTTTATTAAAAGCGTGAATTTTGTGAATTTATCAAGGAAAACTCTAAATTTCTGAATTTATTTAAGTCTTTATTCCAAAAAAACACAAGGCTTATTTAGTTATAGAGACTCCAATGCCTGCCAGCGCATCCGCCCAGACAGCTCATTAAGCACACCCAAGATTGAGCGGAACTCCTCAAAAATACTTAACATCAAAGTATATAATGTCACATATATGAATCATACACACATACAATACCAATTGCTATGAATTGCTACCGTAAAATTTCAGGACACGCATTTGCTTGGAGACTTCGTTGGTCATGGTGGTCATAAGTTCAGCCAACACATTCAATGGTCCATTGCCCGGAGCTGCTCCTACATGATGAGTAGATTTTAGTGCCATTTAGCAATTATCCCTTTAAAATTATAAGAAAAGTGTTTGTTTACCAAATTACCTGTGCCACTCTGCCATGGTACGGTTGTTTCTCCCTTTCATACCACAGTAATTCTGTATGCAACTCTGAATTAGCAAAATTCATGCTTCTTCTCATTATCAACCCCGATCAGATTTTACCCCCGATGACTACTCAAAAAGGTTTATTACTGTATATACTGTGATGCAATTGGAGCCGTTCCACAGATTACTTAAATATACAAGAAAGCCAAAAATGTGTCTTCTTATTTCCATCGCTCAAGCGTGGCCAAAAATACTCTTTCAGTTCGCTATGTACAGTAGGGAACAGCGTTGCCGCTTTGCTAATTTTTAACCAAAATTGGTAATTCTTTTTTCTTTATTCATCAAGTTTGGTAATTTGGTAATTTTTTATTCAATTTGGTATCTTTTTTAATTCTGTTTTACATGTCAAATAGGTCAATATTGGTTCTGATTCCACATTAGTAAGTAGACCGTAAGCGTTTCCTTTTATAGAAATACCAGGTAATCCTGAGAGTTTCGCAAGGCGAAAGTTGTTCAAGCGTTCCTTGGCTACTAGAATGGTGTGTTCTTTAACAAACGGCTTGAAAGTGGCTCTTGCTAAGTATATCCACCGTGTCCTCTCCTGGAAGGTTTGGGGTGGTACTACCTTTCCCTGTCAGTTCGTCAGCTTTTCAATTACAATACGTATGTTCTCGTTCAAAAAGCTACGGCATTCAGCGGGGCTTCAATCTGTCTATGTGTGAGTCGAAAGCTTTCCTTCGAGCGTTGAATGTTTGATATATTTTCTTGTCACTTGTTTACATACAGTGGTCGAAAAAATTATAGCCGCACCATATTTTGAAAAGTTTTAAGATATTATTTTTTTAGTAATTTAATTTTGGTTATTTTTTATAATAATTTTGTTCTTTCTTTAACAGAGTTCTAACAAATTCAAACTTTGTTCAATATTTAAAAAAATTCAACAAACTTTCGTAAAAATTTTAGGTTAATGGAGCGCTGTTTGCCTGAAAAGCTTGGTATCTTCGGATATACATATGTACAGACTAGAGATGTTGCGAATGTGGAATTTTTGACATCCGCGGATGAGAATGCGGATGCGGATGTTTATAAGGTAACATACGCGGATGCGGATGCGAATGCGGATGTCATGTATTTTTAATAAATAATTTAGGTGTGTAAATTAGGTGACTTAGGTAAATAAAAAATGGAAAGATTAGTAATTTTTAATAATCTGCCTTATCCTGAGTTTTGCCCGAAAATTTATATTCCGCCCATAGTAAATACATGAAAACCAAAAGTGAAAAGTGAACGGGCTCGGGAAAAATGAAACTCATGATAAGACTGAATGTTTTTTTAGTACTTGAATTTAAAAATTGGAACACTGTATTTCATAAAAACTTTTTAAAGGGTCGTAAATCAAACCGGCGCCACTATATAACTACTCGCTCGAGGCGACAACCTTGAAAAGCTTGAAACTTGGCAAAATGTAAATTCTTTTCGATTGACACTGCATAAGTTGAGAGGACTTGCAGTTATATTTATTTATTTTTATTGCGGTGCAATAATTACTTTCTGAGAATTTCATCCGGCCCCCAAATGTCGGATGTATCCTCCTGACTTTAATCTTCACAATCTAGCATCATGGCACGATCGTTGTTTAAACACCGTTGTGTTCCAAAGAATTCTTAATTCTCATTCTTTTGGTTGTTTCGGAATTTGGTGAACCTGTCACGTCATCAGCGTTTTTCGATTTTAGTTTTTGTAACTAATTTTTAATGCTTTCTTCTGTGACTGGTGAGATATACGTGTTATCAGTGCACTTGCATAATATTCTAGGGACCGAAAATAACAGTTATTTTTTTCGAGTTAAATTTGGCCTAATATTTTTTTTTCCGAAATAAACGTCCTTTCCGGATAATAAACAAAGCGCTTATCCAAATATAACAGATTTGCTATCGTATGAAAGAGGACTAAAATAGCTTTTAAACAGAAAAAGTGAACGAAGATTACAACCTCAATTTATAATTTTTTTTTATAATCTAATACTAAAGAAATTCATATAAATACATACCTGACCCATATATGTAATACTTCTATATAAGCTACCCAGCAGAAAAAAATTATCAATTGATAAAAAATAACCTACTTGTAGTTAGCTTTTATGCGGGATTTCTATAAAATATATAACTTGTGGTTAGCTACAAAAAGCTAACTTGAAACAAATGGACAAGTAATGCAGGAGCAAAGCTCGAGATTGTTTTCTTTAAACGAGTTTCAATTTAAAAATCCTGCACTTCGCAAATACTTTTTCGAATTGAGTACAAATAAAAGGGAGATCGAAATTTCATATTATCATTTTGAAGTTATGTCTGACGGAGTGGACCTGCAGCAGAATATTAACACGAATATGAAATGTAATAAAATAAATAAAGTAAATAAAAAAAATAAAAAAATAAAAAAAATATTTTGTTTTTCCTATTGATATTTTATGTCCAAAAGTAGTTAATTACAAGCTAGTTACATCAAATGCGGCGTGCCCCTGCGTAAGCCCGTGCGTAAGGGCCGGAGTATTTGCTGTCAGCACGAACTCGTGCGTGCATGGGTGTTCAGTAAAATTTCATAAAAGCACGAATAAGCACGAAAAAGCCCGTTGTTAATACTACAAATTTAGATAAGCTTTTGTTTATATACAAAAAAAAATAAAAAATTGTACGTATTAAAACTCTTTTGATAAGAGAAAAGCAAAAAAAGAAATATTTGGAAACCGATAGCTAAATTAAAATACTTAGTAGTTTTGTTTTCATATCTGTACATAAAATACTTTCCAGTTCTTCTACTTCCCAGAAAATATATGTATTATAAAAAGCATTGATGTGAGAAATTGATTCGCTCAAATAAATATACATATATACATAAACACAAAATTAAAAATATATACATATGTATACACACAATAAAAGTTGGCTCTTTATTTCCGGGCTGGGACGTGTCCTGTCGTGCCGGGCCGGGCCCTCCTAAAATTCTTAACGTGCAGGCTCGTGCGTGTTTTTGAAAGTTGATTTTGCACTCGTTCCGGGCCGGGCCTGAAAATTTAGGCCCGTGCCCATCTCTAATCTGTACTGCCAATATAGCAATATTACATATATGACCTGACCCAAGGGTTGTTCTATGGTTATTAATTAACCTTTTTTTATTGAAATATTTTTCAATATGTGGCTTTCCTCGTTTAGACATTTCAGTTTTAAAGCTATTTAAGTCCTCTTTCATTTGATACCAAACTTGTTTGATTTGGATAAGCGATCTGTTTATTATCCGGAGGGGACATTTATTTCGAAATAAAAATATTTGGCCAAGTTTAACTCGTAAAAAAACTGTAATTTTCGGTCCCTTCAATATTCGCATTCGCAAAAGATCCGCATTGATTTTTGGGAATGCGAAAGCGAATGTTAAAATTAATGCGGAAGCTCCGCGGCTGCGAATGCGAATATTCGCAACAACCCTGGTACAGACATATCGAGCCCTAACTGCCAAAACAACGTAAACGAAATTTTTTTCAAAATTTTCTTTTCGATGCTCTAGGAACATTTCCGCGTCAAAAATAAATTTTTTTAAAAATGTCGGTAACGTTATTTTGGCGGTTAGGGCTCGATATGTATGTTTGTACAGTTCTGCACATAAAATAAGTTTGGTAATTTTTGGTTGAATTTGGTAACATTTTCCGAGGATTTTGCTAAAAGATAAAAAAATTTTGGTTCTGGCAAAATTTCTTTTAGTTTCACTTTTATTTCAACATATCTTGATTAAAAGAAAAATACTGATAAAAATAAAATTTTTCATAAAAACAGGATTGGAATATTAAAATTCCTGCTCTTATTTTTTTTGTTTATATGATAGCACGGCCGCGTAATCATAGCCAACTTATGTACAGTAGCCAACTTATGTACAGTAGCGGAAAAAATTATAGCCTCATCAAATTTTGACAAGTTTTAAAATATTATTTTTGTTGTTATTTAATTTCGGTTAGTTTTTTATAGTTCGTTCTTTACCAACATGCGTATAAATACAGCTTTAAAGGCAGTGTCACACGATTGGGTATTTGCCAAAATTTTGTGCAAATCGTATCTCATTTGTTTGAGCACCCAAAATATTTTTCACTATCCCAATCACGAAAATTAATTTATTGAAAATTTTCAATAGAACATCGCTCTATTGTACCAATCTTTTGACTACAAAAAAAATTTCCAATTTTTTTTACCAATAGCCTAATAAAAAAATTTACAAATCTGTACAAATGTACCAATCGAGTGACGCTGCCTAAAAATTTATGCAATTTAAAAAAAAAATCTACAAATTTTCGTTAAAATTTCGAGTTTTTTAATTAAATTTTGAGTATGCAGTTTTGTAGCCCACTGAATTCTAGTAGAATAAAGTACACGTTTCAAATGGCTAAAAATGTCGATTGATTTTTTAGAATTTTTTATGTTCGAAATTCGTACGAACGTTTGTTGAATTTTTTTTGAATATTGCACAAATGAGTAGTCCACTTGCAAACAGCGTTTTGTGATTTTATAAAAGTGAGCCATAAATTAAAAAAACCGTCTACAACAACAAGTAACATCCAAATTGTATATTTCTCTTTATTATCTGAAAATTTGGATAAACAAGAGCCTAATAACATTAAAAAACAATATCGCAGTGTGGTAGTTTTTGCAAATTTTATATATAAAAATTGATTATAGCGAGTTTTCATACAGTAACTTTTACATAGCTATCTTTTTTTAGCTTTTCGCGTTCAGAACACCTACATCCCCCCCTAAATACGACCTTGGTTACAACAGTGCTATGTAGCGCAAAAACTGTACCGATGTCTTTTGTCTGTCCTCTAATAAATCGGTTTACTCAAAATCATATATCAGCATCATCTACTGATGGAATAAATGAAAAATT